GGCCTGTCGTGTGTTTGAGAAGGTTAGCCAGGCTCCATACCTCTTGAGAGAAGGGAATGGCAAAGAGTGGAAGTCTGAGTCAAGTTTGTTTATTTTGTTTTGTTTTGTTTTAATTTAAGAGACAGGGTAAAAAAAAAAACAAAAAACAAAAACAGATTCTACTCATGACAAAAAAAAAAAGAGAGAGACAGGATTTCACCATATTGGCCAGGCTGGTCTCGAACTCCTGACCTTGTGATCCACCCGCCTCAGCCTCCCAAAGTCCTGGGACTATAGGCATGAGCCACCGTACCCCGCCTGGTTTTGTTTTTTTCTGAGACAAGGTCTCTCTCTAGTCCCCAGCCTGGAGTACACTGGCGTGATCATGGCTCACTACAGACTTGGGCTCAAGCAATCTTCAAGCTACCTGAGTAGCTGAGTTTGGTTTTTACCAGGGCCATGTGTCAGCTTATTTACTCTCACTTGGTGTTTCCCAAGCTGCCAGCCTCTGCTGTTCATCTAGTATCTGCTGACTGGTGATTGCCTACTAAGTGGAAATAATATAAAGGTCTTATCTAAAAGCAGTTTTTGGTGATTATCTCCTAACAGTGGCCCGCTAGAGGGCGCTGTCGTTTAGTGTAATTCTGGTAGGTTTTTGTTCTGTTTTGTTTTTTTAAATGGAATAAACGGAAATCTTTACATGGGTATTGAATCCCTTTAGCAACTTGGTGGGTTGCTTCAACTTAATCACTCTTAATGGAAACATGAACTTGAATGAATTTATTCAATATTTGACAATATTAATTGTTTTTTTTTTTTGAGACAGAGTCTTTCTCTGTCCCCAAGGCTGGAATGTAGTGACACGATGTCAGCTTACTGCAACCTCTGCCTCCCAGGTTCAAGCGATTTTCCTGCCTCAGCCTCCCAAGTAGCTGGGACTACAGGCGCACACCACCACGCCACCCAGATAATCTATATTTTCAGTAGAGACGGGGTTTCACCATGTTGGCCAGGCTGGTCTCAAACTCCTGACCTCAGGTGATCTGCCTGCCTCAGCCTCCCAAAGTGCTGGGATTACAGGCATGAGCCACTTCACCCAGCCAAGCAATATTTATTTTGCCAGGCTTTGAATTCTAGTTTTTAAGTCTTTAAAAGTATCATTCAGGGCCATGTGTACTCAGGACCTCTTGAAACTGAGCCTTTGTTTCTTTAAAAAGTATCTTTCTACAGTATTATACAGGGATTTAAAAAGTACAGTGCATCAGGTAGGCACGGTGGCTCACGCCTGTAATCCCAGCACTTGGGCCAAGGCAGGCGGATCACCTGAGGTTGGGAGACTAGCCTGGCTAACATGAAACCTTGTCTCTACGAAATATACAAAATTAGCTGGAAGAGGTGGCACATGCCTGTAATGCTAGCTACTAGGGAGGCTGAGGTAGGAGAATAGCTTGAACCCCAGAGGCGGAGGTTACAGTGAGCCGGGATTGCACTGCTGAACTCTAGCCTGGGTGACAGAGAAAGACTCCATCTCCAAAAAAAAGGTATAGCACGTCTCTAGAAAAAAAATATTAGAGTCTGGGCTTGGGGCTCACCTAAAACAAGAAAATAGCAAAGTGGAAAACTAGGGATAGGCCTTCAGATCAAGTGCAGTTGACCTCTGCTGTGACTCCCGGAAAGCATAGTATCAATCTTTGTGGAAAACCAAACAAGGTCTAGTTTGACCCTCATAAACTGTCTCTCCCCCCCCAAAAAAAAGGTGTGGTGGTATGCGCCTGTAGTCTAAGCTACTTGGGAGGCTGGGGCAGAGGATCACCAGAGCCCAGCACGTTGAGGCCGCAGTGAACTGAGATTATGCCACTGCACTCCAGCCTGGCTGACAGAGTAAGGCCCTGTCTTAAAAAACAAGGCCAAGGGCAGTGGCTCATGCCTGTAATCCCAGCACTTTGGGAGGTCAAGGTGAGCGGATCACCTGAGGTTAGGAGTTTGAGACCAGCTCGGCAAAGACGGTGAAACCCCATCTCTACTAAAAATACACAAATTAGTCGGGCGTGGTAGTGGGTGCTTGTAATCCCTGCTACTCAGGAGGCTGAGGCATGAGGATCGCTTGAACCCGGGAGGCAGAGGTTGCAATGAGCCGAGATCACGCCACTGCACTCCAGCCTGGGCGTCAGAGCGAGACTGTGTCTCAAAAAAGAAAAACCAAATCAAACAAAAAACCCAAAAGCCTTGTGAAGTAAGCTATGACCTCTAGTTACAGGTGAAGAAATGAACTCAGACCAGCTTGGCCAACATGGTGAAACCCCGTCTCTACAAAAATGCAGAAATTAGCCAGGTGTGTGGCATGTGCCTGTAGTCCCAGCTACTTGGGAGGCTGAGGCAGGAGAATCGCTTCAACCTGGGAGGTGGAGGTTGCAGTGAGCAGAGATTGTGCTACTGCACTCCAGCCTGGGCCACGGAGCAAGACTCTGCCTCTAAATAAGTAAATAATAAAGATTAGGGTAAGTAAAGGGGAACAAGGTCATTGACAGTTGAAAAATGACACCTTAGATCAGAACTAGGATTGTCAGCCAGGTAAGTTTGTAAGAGAACAGAGCCAAACCAAATCAGGTCAGAATTGATCGGGTCCAGTTCTAAATCGCTACAGTTTTTCATGTTTGTCATTCAGTACCTTGCAAGTAACTAATTCCTTTTGAAACCAGTATCAAAAGTAAGTGGCATGTTTCAATGCAGCAGAAATATTTCTAAAGTACTTAATAGCTGAATATACAACATTCTTGCTGCTGTTCCTCAGATACCAGTAGCAACTTCTGAAAAATCAGTGGTCTCAGAGCAACAGGTTTTTGAGACTGAATGGTACAGTGGGAACCATGGATTTTGGAGCAAGGTCAGCCTGGGCTGAAATTGTGACTATCACATAATTGGCCAAGTGCCTTTGGGTAGGGAGGTCATATCTCTGAACCTGTTTCCCCATCTGTATTATGGGGAATAGTATTACATGCCTCACTGGGCTACGGTGAGGATTACATGAGATAATGTAGTTTATGGAAAGTGCTAACAGTGCTGGGTATAAAGTAGGCCTGATAAGTGGATCCATTCTTAAAAAATGGGATCTTGGGCAGGGTGCAGTGGCTCACGCCTGTAATCCCAGCATTTTGGGAGGTCAGGAGTTCGGGACCAGCCTGGCAAAGATGGAGAAACTCCGTCTCTACTAAAAATACAAAAATTAGACACTCGTGGTGGTGCATGTTTGTAATCCCAGCTACTTGGGAGGCTGAGGTAGGAGAATCGCTTGAACCCGGGAGGTGAAGGTTGCAGTGAGCCAAGATCCGGTTACTGCACTCCAGCCTGGGCAACAAGAGCGAAACTCCATCTGAAAAAAGAAAAGGAAAGAAGAAAGAAGTGGGATCCCGGTTAGGTGCACTGCTCTGCAGACGTGGAAAGCCAACAGGGGACCAAGATGCTTTTTAGGCGTAAAACATGAATTATGTCAGGTGTGGCTTTGGTACGTCTAGGTCATTGGTTCTGTAGACTTGCTAAACCCAACCATCTGGGCATTTTCTTGGCGAACAGAGGATGTTTTCATGTGAACACGTGTTCACCTGTGACATGTTTATAATCTTAAAGGTTCCTTCCGAGGCAAACATCTGACAGCGCCTGGCAAACTCTCCCAACAAATGCCGTTTCTGTAATGAGTAAGCCTCCTAATACCCAAATAAATAGTTGAATTCGTTAGCAACATGTCGGATGTTTTCCCTATTTCTGTATACTTCTTCGCTTGTTCTAATATTTATGCCTTCTGGAGGGTGAAGGGGTTGAGAGGCGCCAAAAACCTTGGTTTCTAGGAGCGAACCAAATTTTCTCCCTTAGAGACTGAAGGAAGTCATCAACTCCGGTTCTAGGAAAATCCAATCCGTAGTTTTTCCCTCGCTTTGGCTCTTCCCGGTCTCACTACTCGCGCCGGGCAGACGCGAGGCCGAGGAGAGTCCACCGGGTCCCAGGAGGGCGGGGCGGCCGAGGCCCCGCTGTCGGGGCGGGTGCCAGGAGTCTCGGTGCGATCAGACTCACGAGGGCGCCGTGGGACCACAACTCCCGGTATGCATCGCGGACTGCGCCAAACTCGGTTGGCTGGGAGATCCGCCCCTACTGCCCCCACTGGCCAATAGGACGGAGGAGAGAGTCCTGACCCGGATTCTCGGGGCCCAATGGCAGTACAGTGAAGGCGAGTGCTTCCTTACCACTCACCTTGCGCTCAGAGAAGCCACATTTAAAAGGTCGTGCGGGGCTGGGCTCTTGCAGACAAGGGAAGCAGAGCCGGGAGGAGCGGCGACGTGCCGGGAAAGCGGCGCCGGGGACATCCCGGTCCCCGCGAGGCGGGCTCCGGACGTCGCCGGGGGCGGGGCCGAGGGCGGGGCCTGGCCTCGTTGTGGAGCGGCTCGTAATCCATCATGGCGGCCGCGGGGGTTGGTGTGTGTTCCTGAGCAGCGCTGGAGCCGGAGCCGGTTCCCGGGTCCTGCGACTGAGGAGCCCCTTCGCTGTCCACGGCCCCTATCGGCGGGGGGCGTCTGAGTCCCTCGACAGAGCTCGGGGGATGTGACTGCCTGGGGGCGGTGGTGGTGTCAGTGTCCGGGGCCGGGGGAGGAGGTGTCTCAGGCAGAGACCCCCGGGCTTGGGGCAGCTGAGGCGGCCGGGCCTCCTCTACACGGCGCCCGCCTTCCGCTGTTGGGGCCTCGAGAGTCCTTCGTGCCTTACAGCCCCGCCCCGGCTCTGGGACACTGGGGGATGGTCTGTTTCCCCCAGCTTGGGACACCCCATTTTCCGAGGCTTGGAAGAGCGTCGCCCCGGAGTAAGCCGCCCGTGCCGCGCCCCGGCAGCTTCCCTTAGCCCCGAGCCGCCCCTTGCTCCTGATCCCGGCCCCAAGTTTGGCCACGGAGCTTCCCATTCAAATCCCTCCCCTACTGTCAAGGGGTCTCCCCTTCCCCCAAGGTGGCTCCCGCGAGCCTCTAATGCCCTGACTTCTTCCAATGTCACCTACAGCCCCCTTAGTCTCAGCTCAGCCAGAAACTTTAATGCAAAGGAAAAGTCTGGATTGGTTCCATAGGCCTTTTAAAAAGAGGACTTAAAAGTTGCTGGCAATGCATTCCTTTTCGTCAGAGTCGAGGGCAAACTAGCTGAAATCTGGGTGACCCGTGTCCTTTTCCGGCGAGCAGAGCAGAGAAGCGAGAGCGGCTGCTAGTTCGGCAGGAAATTTGTTGGAAGATGAAGAAGCTAAGATAGGGGGTTGGTGACTTCCACAGGAAAAGTTCTGGAGCAGGGGCCAAAGACGATCAGCGTTTCCTTTATATGTGGGAATTGAAATGACTAGCATTACTGACTTTTCAGCATCCCCTGTGAATATTTCTGTTTAGATTTTTCTTCTTTAAAAGAAAAAAATCCAGCCCGTAAAAAAAAAATCAAGAAACTTTTGGGTAACACTGCAATTACGTTACTTCAAATTGATAACTTCGAAAATAATTGGAACTCCTGTTTGCAAGTGTCAACCTAAAAAACGTGCTTCCTTTTATAATGGAAGATGCCTTTCTGTGATTGACTTCAATTGCTGACTTGTGAAGAAGAAGCGAATGTGAAATCCCACGTATATGCCATCATTTCCCTCTATGCTTGCTGACCGTTCTGGAAGATCTTGAACCCTCTTCTGGAAAGGGGTACCTAGTATTACTTTATGGGGCAGCAGCCTGGAAAAGTTCTTGGGGACCAAAGAAGGCCAAGTTTGCCTGCCCTGCATTTTATCAAAGGAGCAGGGAGGAAGGAGTCCTCGAGGCATGGGGGCCCACACTGTAATGTTTTTGTGGAACATGGTGAGTGCTTTTCCAAATTTCTGCTCGTGGTTTTTTCTTATGCATTCCTCTTAGGCTTTCAGGGAACTTTCGAACAACAGTACTTGGGACAGTTTCTTCCAGTTCTACTTAATAATTTTGTCACTGTGGTTATCTCTTAAGTTTCTGGTGGAACTTTGTATAAGAAAAAGTTACTTATGGCTTTATTCAAAATCTATTTGAGTTGCTTGTGTTCTGCCTGATTCCTTTTGGAATTCACTGCTGACCTTGGACAAGCCATGCCGCAGTTTCCTGAGGCGGTTGGACTTAAGTTGGGTCTTAGGATCCATGGTTTTGTGATTCTGCTGTAACCGGAGTCATGGACTCTTTACTGCTTTGTCTACAGGGAGCTTTTATCATATTCTCAAAGTGGTTTGTGTTTCTGAGAAGGTTAAGAATCATGGATACTGGTTGACAAGAGTATCCTTGACCTTTTCCATCATAAGTTGGACTTGAAAATATTCACTTTGGAGCCATGTGGGAAAAATCAAGTGGGGAAAGCAGCCTTCCTTGTGAATTTTAGATACACAGCTTCTGTCTTACGTTCCATGAGGAGCATTCCCTTCCTCGCTGATCAAGCTTTCATCCTCTCTCCTCCTGTTTAGAATGACATTTGGGCCAAGAAAGGTTATCTTTGACATTTTTATGAACGTATTTGGCATTTGAGTGCTGACAGTACGTTTTATGTTGTTGATGTCTAGTAATTCTGTGTGAAGGTAAAGCTGAGGGTCAGCTTACAGTGATATCTATGGGTTACTGTTTGCACTGTTGCAGCCTGACAGTTTTCAGATTGTGTCCTTTCTGTTAAAAAATCAGATGAGCCCACCTATCCTGTAAGCAAACGTATGAAGTTGTGCAAGTGGTGTATGCTTTGAAATTCATTCAGAAATACCTCTTAACCATAGGTGACTGCAATCAACAGAGGTTTCTGTTGGATGAACTTGCATTTGACAGTTGAAGTTTTACTTTCTTGCAGGAAAATATTACTTCATCTAAATAAATGTGGGTGCTTGGATTTTACTTTGCTTTAAAACATTAGTTCTATTTTAGCTTTGTTTTCAGGCCAGCAAATATGGTCATGTGTTAGGTTATGATGCCTCCCAAATTCAGGATTTAAAAAGTAAATTATTTACATTTTAAGTAGATACGATGTGCAACTTACATAGTGAAAATTGGTACAGACTTTTTGGAGAGCTTTGGCAGAACTTAACAGAATTCGAAATGTATGTGCCGATGACCTAGTAATCTCATTTCTAGGAAACTAGTATAGAAAGCAGTGTACTTCCCTACGTGACCCTCATATCTCTTCAGGGGTTCAGAAGCTAAAACTATTTTCATATTAATAGAGTACTAAGATCTTGTCTCTTTTTCTGTGTTGACATTTGCACTAATGGTGCAAAAGCAAAATAAGTATCTTAGCATGAATCGGGGTTGTGAAACTACACAACCTGCAAATCTCAGTTACAATACTAGCTGTATTTGTAGTCATTGCATTCTTCATGACGTGCACTCACAGTTTAAAAATATATGGATATTGGCTGGGCGCGGTGGTGGCTCATGCCTGTAATCCTAGCACTTTGGGAGGTTGAGGTGGGTGGATCACCTAAGGTCAGGAGTTCAAGACCAGCCTGGCCATCATGGTGAAACCCCATCTTTAAAAAATATATATGTGTGTGTGTGTGTATCCACTTTTCACTGAAAAATATCTTTTTTTTTTTGAATCAGAGTTTCACTGTGTTACCCAGGCTGGAGTGCAGTGTCGTGATCTCAGCTCACTGTAATTTTCTCTTCCTGGGTTCCAGTGATTCTCCTGCCTCAACCTCCCAAGTAGCTGGGACAACAGGCACACACCACTGACGCCCTGCTAATTTCTGTATTTTTTAGTAGAGACCGGGTTTCTTTTTTTTTTTTTTTCTGAGAGAGTTTCGCTCTTGCTGCCCAGGCTGGCATGCAGTGGCACGATCTCAGCTCACTGAAACCTCTGCCTCCCAGGTTCAAGTGATTCTCCTGCCTCAGCCTCCCGAGTAGCTGGGACTACAGGGGCCTGCCACTATGCTCAGCTAATTTTTGTATTTTTAGTAGAGACTGGGTTTCACTATGTTGGCCAGGCTGATCTCAAACTCCTGACCTTGTGATCTGCCTGCCTTGGCCCCTCAAAGTGTTGGGATTACAGGCATGAGCCACTGCACCTGGTCAGATTTCACTGGAAAATACCTTGATGCAGCAGCAGAAATATATTAAATTTTGACCCTTGTGTATGTCTTTTTTTTTTTTTTTTTTTTTGAGATGGAGTTTTCTTCTTGTTGCCCAGCCTGGAGCACAGTGGTGCGATCTAGGCTCACTCTGCCTTCCAGGTTCAAGTGAGGCATTGCAATGACATTGCTTCACCCTCCCAAGTAGCTGGGATTACAGGCATGTGCCACCATGCCCGGCTAATTTTGCATTTTTAGTAGAGTCGGGATTTCTTGATGTTGGTCAGGCTGGTCTCAAACTCCTGACCTCAGATCATCCTCCCATCTCGGCCTCCCAAGGTGCTGGGACTACAGGCATGAGCCACTGTGCTGTGTATGTCTTCTTAATATTCTGTGGGTTAAAAAGGGAGGTATACATCAAGCACTTCTACCGTGTACTAAAGTATAATGGTTATCTCTAGGAAAAGCACGTGGGTGATTGGGTTGCAAACTGAACTAGCCACTTTTTTCACGGACTACCATTTTTACTTGAAACTGTGACTGACAAACATGGTTATTCAAACTAAAAGTGTATGCGGAAATCTTTCAAAGAAAACAACAGGTAGTATTTGTTGCCAATGATGAAATTTTAACTTTCCAGTGAAAATTAGGATTTTGGAGAAAAACTTTTTTTTTTCTTCAGGACAGAGTTTCGCTCTTGTTGCCCAGGCTTGAGTGCAGTGGTGCAGTATCAGCTCACTGCAACCTCCGCCTCCTGGGTTCAAGTGATTCTCCTGCCTCAGCTTCCCAGGTAGCTGGGATTACAGGCTCACATCACCATGCCCAGCTAATGGAGAATTTTTATATGCCACTGAGCTAGAGATTGGTGGTAATATTTACAGAGGCCATATTTTAATATCTTATAAAGAAATAGATTATTTGGAAGTTCTACATAAATCAGTAAACCAATTTTTCTTTTTTGTTTGTTTTTGAGACAGTCTTGCTATGTCACCTAGGCTGGAGTGTAGCGGTGTGATCTTGGCGTACTGCAGCCTCTGTCTCCCAGGTTCAAGCAATTCTCATGCCTCAGCCTCCCAAGTAGCTAGGATTACAGGCATGCAGCGTCACATATGACTAATTTTTGTATTTTTAGTGGAGATGGAGTTTTACCATGTTAGCCAGGCTGGTCTCAAACTCCTGACCTCAAATGATCTGACCACCTTAGCTTCCCAAAATGCTGGGATTACAGGTGTGAGCCACTGTGCCCAGCCAAACCAGTATTTTCTAAATGATCAATGCATGATATAAAATTATACACAGGTTAAAGATCCATTCAAAGTGCAAAATGGAGCCCAGGCGCGATGGCTCACACCTGTAATCCCAACAGTTTGGGAGGCTGAGGTGGGTGGATCACCTGAGGTCACGAGTTCGAAACCAGCCTGGTAAAATGCTGTTTCTACAAAAAACACAAAAATTAGCTGGTAAATTAGCTGGCCAACATGGTAAAACCCCATTTCTACAAAAAAATACAAAAATTAGCTGGGCATGGTGGCATATGTCTGTAATCCCACCTACTCGGGAGGCTGAGGCATAAGAATCACTTGAACCCAGGAGGCAGAGTTGCAGTGAGCCTAGATCCTGCCACTGCACTCCAGCCTGGATGACACAGAGTGAGGCTCCATCTAAAAAAAAATGCAAAATGGACAAACAGATTTTAATGTAACAGAATACAGTTCATTGAGGCCAGATGTGGTGTCTCCCGCCTGTAATCCTAGTATTTAGGGGACTGGGGTGGGAGAATTGCTTGAGGCCAGGAGTTGGAGACCAGCCTGGGCAACAGAGTGAGATCTTACCTCTCCAAAAATTTTAAAATTAGTTGAGCTCCCATTGGAGCCACGGAGTTGAGGCTGCAATGAACCATGAACACACCACCGCACTCCAGTTTGGTCAATAGAGGGAGACCCTGTCTCTGGGGGGAAAAAAAAGAAGATAGTTCATTGGTAGGGTTTCAGATTCTACATGGCAGCCAGCCTTTGAGAAACTCTTGGCTGGGTACAGTGGCTCACGCCTGTAATCTCAGCACTTTAGGAGGCTGAGGCAGGTGGATCATTTGGGGTCAGGAGTTTGAGACCAGCCTGGCCAACATGATGAAACGCTGTCTCTACTAAAAAAGCAAAAATTAGCCAGGAGTGGTGGCATGCACCTGTAGCCCCATCTACTTGGGAGGCTGAGGCAGGGAAGTCCCTTGAGCCCAGGAGGCGGAGGTTGTGACCTGAGATCGTGCCACTGCACTTCAGCCTGGGTGACAGAGCGAGACTTTGTCTCAAAAAAAAACGAAACTACCATTTACCATGTTTTGATGTAGCATCAAAGAACAATACCTACAGTTATCTAGAAAGTCTGTTTTCGGGGGAGAAAGCAGTTATTTTCCAGTAAAAAAATATTTGTTTTTAAATGAATAATTATTTAAATTTCAGTTTTCATTTCTAATGTGGTAACTTTTGTGGAGATAACCTACACAAACTAAGGCTCTTTGGGGCCTTTGATGATTTTCAAGAGTGTGACAAGGGTCTGAGGTTAAAAAGTTTGAGGCCAGGCACTATAGTTCATGCCTGTAATTGCACACTTTGGGAAGCCAAGGCAGGTGGCTCACTTGAGCCCAGGAGTTCAAGATTAGCCTGGGCAACATATGGAAAACCTGTCTCTACAAAAAAAAAAAAAAGAAGAAGAAGGCCAGGCGTGGTGTCATGCCTATGTTCCCAGCTGCTTAAGAGGCTGAGGTTCACTTGAGCTTGGGAGGTCAGCGCCTCAGTGAGCCATGATCACCCCACTGCACTCCAGCCTGGGTGACAGAGCAAGACCCCGTCTCAAAAAAAGTTTGAGAACCGTTGCTATAGAAAGTCTATCAAGAAGGCACATAGGGATTTTTGTTGCTATCATACTCTACAGTACTAACATTGAATGAAGTTTGTGTTATGGTAAGTAGAAAAAAAGCAATTTAAAAATCATTCTTACTGGTATGGCCCCATTTTTGTAAAACAAAAGTATCTATTTATTTGTGTATGTGCAGAAAAAAAGTATGGAAGGATTTTAGACTGAAATTGTTATCTCTAGGGACTTGAGCTCTAGATGGAATAGGAGAAAACTTTCTCTTTTTGCTTTATGTGATGTTCCAAGTGTCTTTTTACAACAAACTTGGGTCATCTTATAATACAAAAAATATGAAGATTTAAAAATCAAATTGACAACAGCCCAGTTCGTTACTTTTTGGAGATACCTTTTTATGAAAGAATTTGCTTAAGTTGTGTATGAAGACAAACCAATTTTTTTGGACCCTGGCTCTTCTTTTTCTAAAGGAATGCCATGATATTTTGTGTTATAGATAATTTGTGATATTCCATAAGCTCATCTTTCTAGAGTTGGTTAATATCCATGTACATTAGATTGAAAAACTTGAATTCAGAAATATACAGTGTTGGATCAGTCATAGATCTGGAACCCAAGAATAGTGTTGATTGTTAGTGGTGGTGAATCTGAAAGAGTGGGCAGATGGCAACTTTTTGCCGGAATCATTCAGGGTCAAAGGGCTAGTCATATCTAGAAGGGATAAAAAGGAAACCATGTTGTTAAATATTTCATGCACCGTATGTTCCTTTCAAATTTCAGAGGCTTGACGAAGAAAATTCACTTTTGGGAGAGTTGGTAAAACAATTGAAAGCATTTAGTAGTCAAGTTTTTCCTTAGTGTTTCCTTCTTTCTTTAACAAACATTTATTTTATTGAACACAGACTATGCCAGGTAGTGTTCTAGTTGCTGATGATACATTTGTGAACAAAAAAAAATATTTCTGCCCTCGAGAATTGCTTGAACCCAGGAGGCGGAGATTGCAGTGAGCCAAGTTCGCCCCTCTGTGCTACAGCCTGGGCAACAGTGAGAGATTCTGTCTCAAAAAAAAAAAAAAAATCCCTGCCCTGGAGAATTGCTTGAACCCAGGAGGCAGAGATTGCAGTGAGCCAAGTTCGCGCCACTGTACTACAGCCTGGGCAACAGTGAGAGACTCTGTCTCAAAAAAAAAAAAAAAAAATCCCTGCTCTCCTAGAACTTAACATTCTAGTGGGAAGAGACACACCATAAATAAGCTAAGTAAATAAAATATGAATCTATTAGTGATATGTGCTGAGGAGAAGAATAACGTAGAGAAAGGGGACAGGGAATGGGGTAGGAGGTGTAATTTTAGTTAGGGCAGCTAGAGAGGCCTGACTGATGGGTGGTGTTTGATTAAAGACCTGAAGGAGGGGCTAGGTGTGGGGGCTCATGCCTCCCTTTTGGGAGGCCGAGGTAGGTGGGTGGATCATGAGGTCAGGAGATTGAGACCATCCTGGCCATGGTGAAACCCTGTCTCTACTAAAATACAAAAAATAATAGCCTTGTGTGGTGGCAAGTGCCTGTAGTCCCAGCTACTCAGGAGGCTGAGGCAGGGGAATCGCTTGAACCCAGGAAACAGAGGTTGCAGTGAGCTGAGATCGCACCACTATACTCTAGCCTGGCAACAAAGCAAGACTCCGTCTCAAAAAAAAAAAAAAACCTGAAGGAGGAAGGTGAGCAGCAAGCCCTGTTGAAATAAGTGAAAGCGGCTGGGCACAGTGAGTCACGCCTGTAATCCCAGCACTTTGGGAGGCTGAGGCAGGTAGATCATCTGAGGTTGAGAGTTCGAAACCAGCCTGACCAACATGGAGAAACCCTGTCTTTACTAAAAATGCAAATAAATAAATAAATAAGCCAGGCATGGTGGCACATTCCTATAATTCCAGCTACTTGGGAGGCTGAGGCAGGAGAATTGTTAGAACCCGGGAGGCAGAGGTGGCGGTGAGCCAAGATTGTGCCATTGCGGTCCAGCCCGAGCAACAAGAACGAAACTCTTGTCTCAAAAAAAAAAAAAAAAAACAGAAAGAAAAGAAGAAATATGTGAAAGCATTTCAGGCCAAGGGAACCAGGATGCAGAGACCTGAGGCAGAGCTTGCTAGTTTCAAGGAGCAGCCTAGAGGCTACTGCGCTAGAGCAGAGCAAAAGGAGAGATGCAGGAGGTAAAATGGAGGGGGTGGGAAGAGAATGGCTGAAGGAGAGGGTGGCTTCTTTGGCCATTTCAAGGATTTTGATTTTGATTTGTGTAGGAAGACCTTGGAGAATTTTCCAAGGGGACTCTACGATCTGTTTTATGTTTTAATAGTAAATAGAATCTCTCCGGCTGCTATGATCTGAAGAACAAGGGAGCAGAGTTTCCACATGGGGGTTGCTTGCACGGAGCCAGATGAGAATGTTGATGTTTGGACAAAGGTGGTGGCACTGAGTGGAGGGTCAGAGCCAATAAGATTTTCTCTCAGATTAGATGTGGGATATGGGGCCAAATGTGACTCCTAGGTTTTTGAACTGAGTAACTGGAAGAATGGAGTTGCCTTATATTGAAATGTAGAATAGAGGAACTGGTGGTGGGGGGTGTACAGGGGAATGAGGATCCGGAGCTCCTTTTGGGGTGTGCTGTATTTGAGATGCTTGTTAGGCATCCAGCTGGATGTGTCAAATTGGCAGTTGGTACACCGAGCTTGAATTCAGGGAAGCACTCCAGGCTGGGGAGTCAAGCTGCCAGATAGATGGAATATGGGAATAGACAAGGTTATCAAGGGAGAAGTCTCTATATATGTGTCTTTCACATGTGTAAGGTAGCATTCCTTAATGAAATTAAGACTTTACATTTTTATTAATTTAATTTAATTTAATTTATTTATTTTGAGATGGAGTCTTGCTCTGTCACCCAGGCTGGAGTACAGTGCTTCGATCTCAGCTCACTGCAACCATCGCCTCCCAGGTTCAAGCAATTCTCGTGTATCAGCTTCCCGAGTAGCTGGGATTACAGGCGCACACCACCACACCCGGTTAATTTTTGTATTTTTAGCAGAGACAGGGTTTTGCCATGTTGGCCAGGCTGGTTTTGAACTCCTGACGTCAGGTGATCCACCTGCCTTGGCCTCCCAAAATGCTGGGATTACCGGCATGAGCCTCCGCGCCTGGCCAGACTTTTACATTTTTATGTAGTTTGAATTTTTCTTTTCTTTTTTTTTTTGAGACGGAGTTTCGCTCTTGTTATCCAGGCTGGAGTGCAATGGCGTGATCTCGGCTCACCACAACCTCTGCCTCCTGGGTTCAGGCAATTCTCCTGCCTCAGCCTCCTGAGTAGCTGGGATTACAGGCATGCGCCACCATGCCCAGCTAATTTTTTGTATCTTTAGTAGAGACGAGGTTTCACCATGTTGACCAGGATGGTCTCGATATCTTGACCTCGTGATCCACCCGCCTCGGCTTCCCAAAGTGCTGGGATTACAGGCCTGAGCCACCACGCCCGGCCTAGTTTGAATTTTTTGTAGGGGGAAGGTGACATTTACATTTTGCATGGGAATTATTTTAACTCTTCTTTAATTTTTTTTTTTTTTTTTTCTTTTTGAGATAGTCTCACTGTGTGGCCAAGGTTGGCATGCAGTGGCACAGTCCTGGCTCACTGTAACCTATGCCTCCCAGGATCAAGCGATTCTCCTGCCTCAGCCTCTTGAGTGACCAGGACTACAGGTGTGTGCCACTGTGCCTGGCTATTTTTTGTATTTTTAGTAGAGATAGGGTTTCACCATTTGGCCAGGCTGGTCTCGAACTCCTGATCTCAAGTGATCTGCCCGCCTTGGCCTCCCAAAGTGCTGCAATTACAGCCATGAGCCACTGTGCCCAGCCTTCTTAAAGTTTTAAATCCTGTTTCTCTAGATTTTGTTTTTCTACTAAGTCAAAAAGTTGCAGATAAAAAAATTGCACACATTTTTTTTCTTAATTTTCTTAGTAGTGAATTATTTATTTATTATTTTATTTTTGTTTGTTTGTTTGTTAAGACGGAGTCTTGCTCTGTTGCCCAGGCTGGAGTGTAGTGACATGATCCCAGCTCACTGCAACCACCATGCCCAGTCAATTAAAAAATATTTTTCTTTCTTTTTTTTTTTTTTTTTTTTTGTTTGAGACAAAGTCTCTCACTATCACCCAGCCTGGAGTGCACTGTGATGATCCCGGCTTACTGCAGCCTCAACCCTGTCAACTCAAGCAGTCCTCCTGCCTTAACCTTGCAAAGTGCTGGGACTACAAGGTATGAGCCACTGTACCTGGCCTTGTAATGCTTTTCTAGCTAATGTTTAAAAAAATTGAAGCTGTGAGGGTTTATTTGTTACTTTTTCCCCTTCCTCTTTTTTTTCTGGAGACAGAGTCTTGCTCTGTCACCCAGGCTGGAGTGCAGTTGCGTGATCTTTGCTCACTGCAACTTCCACCTCCTGGGTTCAAGTGATTCTCCTGCCTTAGCCTCCCCAGTAGTTGGGATTACAGGCACATGCCACCACACCTGGCCAATTTTTGTATTTTTAGTAGAGATTGGGTTTTACCATGTGCAGCTATTTATAAAAATTAGTTGCTCATGGTGGTTCACACCTATAATCTCAATCTCCTGGCTTCAAGTGATCCTCCCGTCTTGGCCTCCCAAAGTGTTGGGATTATAGGCATGAGCCACTGCACCAAGCCTACTTTGGGTTTAATTTGTTCTTTTTTTCTAGCTTCTTAAATTAGAAATTTAGATAATTCCAAATCTTTCTTGTCCAACATAAGCATTTAAAACTGTGTATTTCCTTCTAAACACTGTGTTAGCTCCATCACGTAACTTTTCATGTGTTATTATCAAAGTGTTTGATTTCCAAATATTTGGGAATTCTAAATATCTTGGTTTCTAATTTAATTTTTTTTGTGGTCAGAGAACATCCTCTGTAAAATTTCAGTCTTCTGACATTTACTGAGAATAATTTTAGGGCCCAGCATATAACCTGTCTTTGTGAATATTCCATTTGTACTTGGAAAGAATATGTGTTGTCAGGTGTAGTTTTCTATAAATCAAATTGTTTCATACTCTTATTTAAAATCTTCTATATTTTTTTTATTTTCGACTTATTTCATCTATAGCTTTGTTGAGGTTTTTTGGGGGGCAGTATCTCTTCTTACTGAGAGAGTGATGCTGCAGACCAGCTATAGTAATAGATCTGATTATTTTTTCCTTTAATTCTATCACTTTGTTTAGTCTTAAAAGCATTTATTAGAAAACAGGAAAGACTGAAAAACAATAAGAGAACTAGGCATGGGCCGGGCGCAGTGGCTCACGCCTGTAACCCCAGCACTTTGGGAGGCCGAGGCGGGTGGATCACGAGGTCAAGAGATCGAGACCATCCTGGTCAACATGGTGAAACCCTGTCTCTACTAAAAATTACAAAAAATTAGCTGGGCACGGTGGCGCATGCCTGTAATCCCAGCCACTCAGGAGGCTGAGGCAGGAGAATTGCCTGAACCCAGGGGGCGGAGGTTGCGGTGAGCCGAGATTGCGCCATTGCACTCCAGCCTGGGTAACAAGAGCGAAACTCCGTCTCAAAAAAAAAAAAAAAAAAAAAAAAAAATTGGCTGGGCACGGTGGCGCATGCCTCTAATCCCAGCTACTCAGGAGGCTGAGGCAGGAGAATTGCCTGAACCCAGGAGGCGGAGGTTGCGGTGAGCCGAAATCGCGCCATTGCACTCCAGACTGGGTAACAAGAGCAAAACTCCGTCTCAAAAAAAAAGAACTAGGCATGTAACTCAAGAAGCCAGAATACCAAAGCAATCCCACAGTACACAGAGGAGAATAATAAAAACAAATTAAGAATAGAAATGATCAATAAAACCAAAAGCTAACTTTGAAAAATATTATTGATCTAGGCACACTTCTGGTAAGACTCGTGAAGAAAAAGAAAAGGCACAATATTTAGAAAAAGAACAATATTTAGAATGAAAATGTAACTATAAATATTCTCTCAGTTTTTGTCTCTTTTTTTTTGTTTGTTTATTTTTTGGAGACAGGATCTCACTCTGTCACCCAGGCTGAATTGGAGTGCAGTAGCAATCATAGCTCACTGCAACCTCCATCTCCCAGACTCAAGCTGTTCTCCTACCTCAGCCTCCCGTGTAGCTGGGACTCTACGCATGTGCCACCATGTCTGGCTGATTTTTGTTTTTTTGTTAGAGATGGAGTTTCACCATGTTACTCAGGCTGGTCTTGAACACCTGAGCTCTAGCAATCTGCCCTCCTAGGCCTCCAAAATTGCTGGGATTACAGGTGTGAGGCACTGTGCCTGGCTGGTTCTTTTTTTATAGTTTGCATTGTTCTGCTGAGATTCACTGTTTTTTCATTCGTTAGGTCTATCTTTTCCTCTAAATCTTAGAAGGTATTTGTAAAAAGATAGTGCCTGCTAATTTAAATGTCTGGGTCATCTTGGGGTCTGTTTTTATTGATTGCTTTTTCTGTCCATTATGAGTCAGATTTTCCTGCATTTTAAAAATTCCCTCCTCCCCTTTCCTGCATTTTTGCATGTTAAATAATTTTGATTATATGCCAGACATGTGGGTGTTATATTATAGGGATTCTGGATCTTGTTGTTTTTCTTTAAAGAAGTTTTCATTTTGTTTTGACAAGTAGTTAGGTTACTGTAGTTACTTAAATTACTGTGAGTTACTGGTTGTTAAGTTAGTTTGACCCTGCCAAGTTTGCTTTTATGCTTTGTTAGTATGGATTTATCCTTGGTCCAGACACATGGCCCTTACAATAGAGGGTACTCTTTAGACTTAATTCTTGACGTGTTTGGGGGGTCTAAAGAAAATGACAGAGGTGCTTAGCAAAGTCTCTCCACCCTGGATGAACTAGCACTTGAATGTCTTCCAGCACTGTGAAACTTCTGTGTCTGTGCAGTTCTCAGCCTCATCGCCTCTGCTGTCTGCTAAACTTTACCGAGTCTAGAAGCCATGGACCCATAGGATGCCTCTCACCATCTTCTGTCTACCTCTGTTCTATTACCCCTGCCCTGCCCTC